TAAAACTACTTTGACCATGGAGTATCGGTACTTCCCTAATAACTTTTAAATAAAACTAGTTATTTTTCGATCGTTAGGCTGAGAGTATCGATACTAGGGTTTACGGTATCAATACTACTATATAATAGTTTTGATACTCCTTGAAGTATCAGTACCAATTTTGCATACTAGAATCTAAACAAATTTAAAACCAATAGGTAGTATCAATACTTCCATGAGAGTATCGATACTTTTCTTACCTTGGGTATCGATAATATAAAAACAATATCGACACTGTTCATGTGGTATCGATACTGTAAGAACAATATCGATACTTCTTGTCTATAAAATTGTTTTGTGTTCAAATTCAAGTTTTATGGAATTTGAATTATTTTTGAAATCTTTGAATAAATTCAATTTAGTCCAAACACATTTTGTCCTTAAATTTGTTATATCAAAATAGGTTCAACAATCTCCCCCTTTTTGATATAACAAAACATTTGAAAAATGATTTTGGTAAAACTCCCCTTTAATAAAACATTTAATGAAAAAAAGAAATATTTTGGAAATATATTAAAGCTCACCATTTTTCATTCATGAAATTTAATTTTTCAAACCTATACTTCTCCCCCTTTTTTATATAAAAAATAATTCAAACATTTAGGTTTAAAAATAGCAATGGAGGCCAAGTAGAAATTTTGAAATGAAATCCATTTGAAAAATCAAAATCTCCCTCTCAACAAATGCATTCCAAAAAAATTGACTTTAAAAGCTTCACACTTAAAAACTATTGAATTTCAACAAATATGAGCAAACATGTTAGTAACACATGAAATTCAATAAATCCAAGTCTATACTACTTTATGCAACATTAACATGAGACATTAAAGTTTATATGCATAAAGCTATCCAAAAATGTTATGCATTTGAAAATTTGATATCAATTGTTAGAGAGACATCATTTGATATAAAATCACATGCATAAACATTTAAATTTAAGGTAAAAAAATCAAGGTTTGTAAAAATAAAACATTAAAAACATATTTGACCAAAAATCACTACGATGAACTAAAAACTTATGAGAGAAATCATTAAAACTTTAAAATTTTCACCATAACACATTTTAACATACATAAGATAGAAAAATAACATATAATCATTTATGCTCAAAAACTCATGCATGCATAAAATAAAATAGGCAACCAATTATTCAAAATTAAAAAAACATTAAGATTAGAGGTTACCAATTCCTCATTTTTTGTGGCTAGAGCATTTAAATTTTTTCCCTTTTGTCATAATTGCTCACATACACCTACAAGAGACATTTTATATATATTTTGATATCCAATTTGCTTTAGATCCTTGAATGTTAGTGCAAAAGTCTCTTGTTCCCTTGAGAACCCATACTTGCCTAATTTTAAATGGTTTTGTAAGTTTTGTACATTCCAAGTGACCATGGAAATGACAATGTGAGCATTTTGCCATTTTAAAACATGATGAATTGTTTTAAATTTTATTTTCTAAATAATTTATTTTGATTTTTTAAAGCTCAAAATAATTTTTCAAAATTTCATTATGTTTTTTAAAATCATACTTTGCTTTTAAAATCAAATCATTTTCAACTTTAAATTTTGAAATTAATTTCTTATATTTGAAATTCATGGTCTCAAATTCCAAATACAATTCATCATAGAAAACTTGTAACTCTTTAAATGAATAAGAATTTAAATCACAAGATTTAGAAGTTACAATTGAATCTTCTTTGATGACCATGAGACATAGGTTGTCAACTTCATATTCATCATTGGAGTCTTCATCACTCCAAGGCACCACAAATGTCTTCTTTTTGCTTGATCCCTTATTCTTTCAGAAGGGACATTCATATTTGACATGTCTCATTCTTTGGCACTCAAAGCACACCGGAGGACCCTTCCTCTTACTCGATTCACACTTCACTTATTTTCCTTTGGAAGACATGAATCTAATGAATCTTTTGAAAAGCTTGACCATCTCTTCATCTTCATCTACCTATTCACTTGAGTCTTGATTACTTTCTTTAGTGAATTTGAAGGCGATTCCCACCTTCTTCTTTTTCTTGTTATTCTATTCTTCTTTTTCTTCTTTATTTTTTTGGAGTTTTACCTCATGAGTGAGTAGAGAACAAATAAGCTCATCGAGGGAGTATAACTCCAAGTCCTTGGCTTTTTCGATGACGGTTGCTTTGCCTTCCCTGGATATATGCAATGTCACCTCAAACTTATCCCAAATCTCCTTTGCATTAGAGCATAGAGATACTCTTCTATATTCGTCTGGGCTAAGAGCACAAAAGAGAATGTGCATGGCTTTGCCATTGAGTTGGGTAAGCTTTCTATCTTCACTTGTCCATTTCGATCGATTCCTTGGCGGGGTGAGGGAATTGTCGACAATGGCATCCTAAACTGCAAGGTCGGTGGCTTGGATGAACAACATCATCATATTCTTCCAATAGAAATAATTTACTCAATTGAAGTAAGGAAACATATGGATCGACTGAGAGTCCTCAAGGAAGTACACTTCAGATGTGGAAGTCATTTTCTCGGTTACATCAAAAATTGATAGAAAGCTTCAAGGATATTCTCAAGGTTGTTAAACCATCGATTTGTGACCCACTCTGATACCAGTTGTTGAGATTTTTTATGCTCTATCGATTAACCGAAAAAGTGCAAAGAGGGGGTGAATTGACAAAATAAAAATTTTGGGAGTATGGAGAAAAAAGAAAGGAAAAATTGCACAATGATTTATAGTGGTTCAACTTCCTCAATGAAGTTTACATCTAATACCTTAACTCCATACTAAAGATTTCTAACAAATTCATTAATTTGTTCTTTTTTTTTTCTAGGCTCAAGAGTAACCTTTTCAACTCCCTAGTTTTCAATGGCTAAACTAGAACCAAACCCCTTTTATAAAAGGATAAAAAAATGTAAACAAGAAATCTCTCAAATGAAGGTGTTTACACAATTAAGCTATCTAAAACACACTATTTGCAAGAGAAAATAAAGAATAAAGAATGAAAGCTTTTCTCTCGTTGATCAATGCTTGGATAGGTGTTATGTCACATTCTTTAAGTGTCATTAACTTGTTTTTATATGTTGAAATTAATTTCTAGCCATATCTAGTCGTTGGGGACTTAATTACTGCAAAATAAAATTGCCTAGATCAGAGAGTAACGGTACTCGGGCTTGGAGTATCTGTACCTCCCTAATAACTTTTAAATAAAACTAGCCATTTTTCACAGCTTGGTTGGGAGTATCAATACTAGGGTTTACGATATTAATACTACTATACAGTAGTATCGATACTCTTGTGAGTATTAGTACTAATTTTGCATACTGGAATCTAAACACATTTAAAACCAATAGGCAATATCGGTACTGCCATTAGAGTATCGATACTTTCCTTACCATAGGTATCGATATGACAAGAACAATATTGATATTATTCATGTGGTATCGATACTGTAATAACAATATCGAGAACAATATCGATACTTCTTGTCCAGAAAATTGTTTTGTGTTCAAATTCAAGTTTTATGGGCTTTGAATTATTTTTTAAATCTTTGAAAAAAAATTCAATTTAGTCCCAAAATATTTTTCCCTAAATTTGTTATGTCAAAATAGGTTCAACAGAATGCATGTAGTATTGTACATTTATTAGTGAGGCACTGAGCTCGTAAGCTCAGTGTTCGAAATGTTTTTCCGTGCGCAGGTTCTTAGGAGACCATTCGAGGAACATTATCATTGCCAGTAGTTCCAACTCAACAAAGACTTCATAGTACGTCTTGATCTTTTATAAGAGGACATGTACCATTGTAGACCATTGTATTCAAATGTAACTCTATTTTGATTTTAAACTCAATGCATTTGTTTTGGATGATTTATGAGTTTTCCATATTTTGTAAACTTTGAATTATCAATATTTATTTTATTTTACTCGGGATGGATTTTATATGGTATTTTAAAGGAAAATTTTGGATTAGCTACTTTGGTGGTCCTATGTGACATCATGATCTAGTGATCTTCGGGTCCGATTGGATTAAGGTGTTATAGACTAAAATAAGAGTAATTTAAAATTTTAATTATTAAATTAAAAAAAATTAAACTTAAGTAACAAAAAATAATAGTGAAAAGGTAGTTGAATGATGAATGATATAGTTTATCCTAATAATAAAAGGGAAAATTACACATTTAATATCTAAATTATCACTTTTGTTCCATTTTAATACCTAAAACATTATTTTTTCCCAAAATCATAACTAATGTCTAGGTTTCAATTTGGTACCTATTGTTAAATATTTAACGTTACTAATGACGTGAAAAAATAATTCCACGGAAGCTACTCTCAACCTGGTGTTGGGGGTAGCCTACTATCTTACCTCCCCTTACCCCATACATATGGGAAAAAGGGACAGCCATTTTAATGACGTGAAGTTTGCATTACAAGACACATGGAATATCATACAAGGGAAAATAATTCCATGTCATTGGTGTCGCTAAATTTTTAATGGAGAGATACCAAATTAAAACTTCAACTAAACGTTAGGAATGATTTAGAGAAAAGTGATAAATTAAGTACTAAATGTGTAATTTACTCATAATAATAACAATGATAAATTATGTATTTAATACCTAAACTACCAATTTTGGTCTATTTTAGTATCTAAACTTTCAATTTTTTCAAAATCATATCTAAAGTTTAGTTTTTGTTTTATTTTAGTACGCCCGTTCAAAATTTAACATTAAAATTTGGGGGAAAATTGAAAGTTGATGTAATAAAACGGACCAAAAATGATAGTTTGGGTACTAAACGCGTTAAGTTTTTAACGTGTGTATTAAAATGAAACAAAAATTAAACGTTATGCATGATTTTGAAAATAAATAAAAGATTAGATACTAAAACGGATCAATACTGATAGTTTAAGTACTAAATACATAGTTTAACCTAACAACAATAATAGATTTTCAACGGCCAACCGGTGCTGACGTTCCAAAACGCTTCCCTCCTCATTTCTCTCATCTCCTTTCGTCAGATCTCACTCTTCTTTTCCCTGACCCGGTAGTATTGCTTTCCTTTCAATTCACTACATAAAATTCAAAAGCCAACAAAATTTCAATTTTTCTTTTTTACATCTGATTATTAACAGTGAAGCTTTTTTTTTGTCTAGGGTTTGTTTTTTTTGTGATTCGATAAATTTCTTCTATTACCATGGCTGCTCCACCTGCAAGAGCTCGCGCCGATTACGACTACCTAATAAAGCTCCTTTTGATCGGCGACAGCGGTAACTATTTATTACCTATTCTATCTATATTATGTATCTTGATTTGAAATGCGATCTACTTCATGTACATTGATTTTGCGAAATGTTTGCTTTCGTTGAAAGGATTTCATTGTTTTCTGGTTAGAAAACTAGGTGTGAGACCGTGATGTGTTTATCAAGATCATTACCTTAGATTAAACTTCATTTTAGGCTTATAGATTACCTTACCGAGATTTTATTGCACTCGCGAAGTTGATTGTAAAACAGTGTATTTGCATGAGTGAAACGTTGCTCATTACAGGCCATCACTGCGACAATTAGTTGTAGTTGCCTGCAATTTGGTACTGATAAATGATATTATACTTATTTTAAGGAGTTTTCTTGGTATTTTGCATATTCTTTTTTAATTTTATTTCTGAAGCTGAATAGTCTGTTTACTTATGCTATTGTGTGGCCAGGTGTGGGTAAGAGTTGCCTCCTTTTGCGTTTTTCGGATGGCTCGTTTACTACAAGTTTTATCACAACCATTGGGTAGGTGTTCTTTGAATTGTAATCACTTGTCTTATTATTGTTATTAGTATTGTTTCTAAATGGGGCATATGGTTTAATAAGTTTTGTCCTTACTTTGGCAGGATTGACTTTAAGATAAGGACCATAGAGCTTGACGGGAAAAGGATCAAGCTGCAAATTTGGGATACTGCTGGGCAAGAGAGGTTTCGAACAATTACAACTGGTTAGTTTTTGGGTTTGAAGGTGTCACTGACTGGAAATGAATGGTCTATTTGGAATTATAAATTATTTATTTGGAGAAATAATTTGATAGCATTACTTGGGCATTGTTTTGCTTGAACCTTTTAATTGCCATTGTTGTATGGTGCGACTTACCATTTATTCTCACTCAGATATTGTGAAATTCTATATCAACTTTGGCTCAAGGTGGTTGCTGTTGCTTTGCTATTCTCCTCTGTGATTTTTTGCCTTTGGGAAGTTAGGAGTTTGTCTGCTTTCGTGGCTCGCACACTCTCTAATCGGCCCATTGTGATACTCTTGAATTGTATGACAGGACTTGGAAATAGAATTATGAAGAACAGATGCTTATACTTTCATATTTTCTAGATTCTTGATTGAAGGAGTTCAATATTAAAATTATCTCTGAGGGTGTTTAAAATTTTGCCTCTACATAGTATTTTATTTTGGTCTTTTGATGTCAACTCTCCAATACATCCTGATGTTTTGTCTTCCGAACTCGTCTGATTAACACACAATTAAGTATTATTTTCTTTTCATGCAGCTTACTATCGTGGAGCCATGGGTATCTTGCTTGTGTATGATGTGACTGATGAATCATCTTTCAATAGTAATCACTGAACTTTTATCATTTGAATTTTCATACATTAGTTGTTCTATCTTATCCACCCTTGAATCTTTAGAAATGTTTATGTTTCCACCAATTCTATTATCAACTGCACTAATATCCTTACCTTTGATTTGAAATTTTATTCTTTTTTCCTTTATAATTATCTTATACTCAGACATCAGAAACTGGATTCGAAATATTGAACAACATGCATCAGACAATGTCAACAAGGTTCTGGTGGGTAATAAGGCTGACATGGATGAAAGCAAAAGGGTATCTCCCCCTCTCTCTCCCGTAGGCTTATCGCTTGCATTTGCAGTTACCCTTCTTTTTTGGCATATTGGCTTGGTTCAGTTTCTTTTATAAGTTGTCGAGGAACTTATCTTTCAGGCTGTCCCTACTTCAAAAGGCCAAGCTCTTGCTGATGAATATGGCATCAAGTTCTTTGAGACTGTATGTAATTGTTACTCTATATTTTTCCGTTCCTTTTTATGTATAAGTGATCTTTCCTATATGCTGAAGAGCCATCCTATCTTGCAGAGTGCAAAAACAAACTTAAATGTTGAGGAGGTTTTCTTTGCAATAGCCAGGGACATTAAGCAAAGACTTGCGGATAGTGATGCTAGGGCTGAGGTATCGTATCTCTCACTTGAATGTATCATCATTTCTGATAAGAAAAGCATACTTGCGATAATTATGCAAAGAATTTCCTTAAACATATTTAAAAACACAAGTTCCTAATATCACTCCCGTTACACATGATTTCACTTGTTTATTACTTTTTATATGTTTTTTCAAATTTGTGGTGCTTAAACATATTTCAAAAACACTAGTTCCTAATGCCACATGCATTGCACGTGATTTTACGTCTCTCTTTATGTGATTTCCCCAAACTCGTGCTTATATATTGTAATGTCTATTCAATTCCTCTTTGTAGCCAAATGCAATCAAAATTAACCCACAAGATCAGGCCGAAGGATCTGCAGCAAATGCTCAAAAATCAGCTTGCTGTGGGTCTTGAACAAAGCTATGATTGACAATGAGCTCTGATGGGTACATTTTCTTCTCTCAGGAGCTTTTTTGGTTTGGGAAAACTAATTTCATCATAACTATATCGTTCGTGTTTGTATTCTCCTGCTTATCATTATTTTTACATCTATTTATCTTTTGGTTTGAAATGTTAGATCCTTAAAATTCTGCAGAAATTAATCATATTAGATTGTTTTTCGTAGATAACATTGTGCTTGAATGCAAATCTGTCTACCGTTCTGATATTTTGAGTTGTTAAGAAACTCTCTATGCCAATAATCAGTGCATAAGCTTGCTCTACTTTTCATAATTTTTAAAATTTCTGCTTTGAGTTCAGTTGTGTTTGGGTTAAAATTGTTTCAGTTGATTTTTTCACTAATGTTCCCCCAACTATGGTATGTTTTTTATTGAATCTCTCGACAATCAAAAGTTACAAAATGATCACTCGACTATTTGTATTTTCTAAAATCGTCATTTTCCTTTAAAAATTTGACGATCATTTGAATTGAACGTTATAAATTAAGATATGATAAAATTTGATCTCAGGATCATTTGAGTTGTATAGTTGTTTGAAATTATTAGATAAAATTTTATCATATCTCAATTAATAAGTTAACATCTAATTCAGACTATCGTCAATTTTTTAACAAAAAGAACAATTTTGGAACATATCAATAGTTGGGTGATCATTTGTAAAGTCAAGGGACTAAAAAATATCCTATAGTCAAAGGATTACTTTGTAACTTTTAATAATTGAGAGACTCAACAAATCAACACCTTATAGCCGGATACCATTTGTGTACTTAATTTAAAATTGTTTAAAATGCTAATTAATAAAATTAAAGCCTAAAAATGTAGTACTTTAAAGATTACTTAAAGCAGCAAACTTACTAATAACATTATAATGTCAACGATCAAATTATGTCAAACTTAAGTAAATAAAATCTCACATTTCAGCATAATATAAAAATTACAGGTTTCCTCCATTTCTCCTTTGGTTCACCAAGAGTGAAGCAAAATTTAGATTTCATCTTATCTTCAATTCATATCTACTGCATGTTGCTGAGATACAAGCAAAATACTCAAAATAACAAGTATCCTTTTTAAGGCACCGATTCCTACTTTTTAACAGATTCCTGGGCCATATTATAAAGAAGAAAAGGCGTCACGTTCAGTTAGTGGCGCCGTCACCATTAACAAGCAATAATGTCTTGTAAAGTTCACTTCCATCATATGCACAAAACAGAGATAACCCTACCTTGCCAATGAACACGGTTGCTTTACGGCAATTGTTTCATTTCATCCTTCCCATATATACGTTGAAGTTCAACAGTGGCAACTAAAAATGACTCTGAGAAAGAAAGAGTAGGAAACCCTTTTATTTTAATCGATCATGAGTGCTTACTATATGTAGTTGCAAGATAAATGATGTTGGGGGAGGGGGATTTATATATAGCAACTCAAGTTAGGTGGGACTAAAGCAATTTGAGTTCAAAAGCTTACATTACCTTTCCAAAGCCGGAAGCATTTTTGGTTAATAGGTGAGCCTGTTATAGTCTGAATAACGTCGAACAGCATATTCTGCGGTGTGCTTCTCAGCTCTTGGACGATCCCATAAACTGTCTTCCCATTCTCAAAGTATATGTGATTGTTTGGGTGTTTTGTTTTGCAACCAGCATGTCGTTCAAATTCGTATGCATTGATCACCTATTGGAATGTAGAAACCCAGAACGTCAGAGCACACATACTTTGCCTAACCATTTCCCTCAATACAAATGGTAAAACGGGAAAACCACACCTTAGAAAAACTGCATGTCTGGCAGCCACATTGATATCCAGAACTCTTTATTACGCCACGGAGCTCCTTCTGAAGTTCATAAAAAGAAGCAGGCGTATAACCAGACAGTAAGGTAAACTAAAAGAACACATGAAATGAGATTTTACCTCCTGTGACCACGCAATATATTTGACTGGAACTCCATCAAGCATACCAGTTGAGAGCAAACTTTTCACATTTGATGGGAAGTTATTTGAAGCAGCTTTTTTCGATGTTTTTGGCTCATCTTTCTTCCTAGAAACTTCAGCTCTAGAGGCAATGATATTATTGGTTTGAACCAACTCTTTTGCACTAGGAGCATTAAATCTTTGGACCAAAGACTGACTCATCAACAAGTTATAGCTTGATATAAAACTCCCCGATGGATTTGTACCATCATCATCATAACCACCAAATGATATAATAATACTCTCCCCTACTATAGGACGGACCAACTGACAAATTATAGCTGTCCCCCTTGTAGTTATGTGTAATAGATATGGCACTGTCATCTCCTTTACTGTAGGTCTGACCCACAGTTACAGAACTATCATCTGTCCCGTTGTAGGTTTGACCCATAGCATGAAATTATTATCACCCTTTTCGAAGGTATCGCTTATTGTAATTGCACTGTTATCCTCAATTTTGCTATGGGATTGTCCCATAGACTTGAAAAGATTATTCTCTCTTTCATAGGTGTCACCAATAGAATCCCCTTTGTTATAAGGAAAGCCCATCGACATAATACCATCTTCCACCTTGTTGTAAGCATGATCAGTTGACACTGAATTATTGTCAACCCTATTAAACACATATCCCATCGATGCAGACATGATATTATCTGAATCCTTGACCTCACTGACTTTTACCTTCCTAATCCCTCCAAAGTTTAACCCAGATCGAGGATCTTCCAGTGTATGAGACATAGATAAACCAAATGAAGAATCACTTATAAATAAATCTTCATTAACCTTTCTCCCCATGAGAGCTTTCTCTGTGTTACCAGATGAAAAGCTTCGATCATCAAAGTTCATTGCTCGAGCTGTTTCGGTATTGAAAAACCGTTCAGCAAACTGTTCCGAGATTGAAGTAAAACCGGATGCATTTCCCCAAGGAGATTCATTTGGATTAAAGATTCCAGAAAATAAATTGATTGTTGGAATTCCAACTGCCTGCTTCTTGTTAGGAAATAAGTCTGTCTCGGTGCCATCCATGAACAATTGATTAGAGCGCTTGGGGTCAACTCTAGATGAAGTATCATACGTCATCTCACCATTGTTTAAATCAGCCCCCTTTTTCGTGCAAATGCCCTCATTCTGGAAAGATTGTTACATGTAACAAATTTCTAATCAGACTGTCACACCGTACAGAAAGAATAACAGTCGAATCTTTTCAGTGATCTAGTATCAAGATTAACCACATGCCATCAAAGATTATAAAAAAAAGAATCACTAGAGAACTTCAATAAGGTGAGCTTTTATAGAACCTATTGCTTTTCAAAAAGCTCAACTAGGTACACACGTGCATGCAGAGCCCCTAAGGACGCACCTTGTCTAGTGCTAATGCACAGCCCCCCTAAAAACGCACTTGGGAACTCTTACTGTCAACAAACACATGATTTAGCTGGTAGAATTGTAGAAATTAGAAAATAATCAATATGGCTTTCTTCTTCACTCTTACTGTCTTACACATATATATCTAGTTCATCAGTGCTTCTCCACCTACATTAGTCAATTACAACTATTGTGAAATAGAAAAACACAATAAAAATTAAACCACTGAATATATCAATACTGATACGCAGTATCAACAGCACAAATCACTTAAGCCAACATTCAAAACATACCATTTTGAAGCTTTACTTCAAGTTTGCTTCCACTTTGCTGTAAAAGTTCAACAGTTAAAACTCTATCTTCATAACAAGTCAAACATGCACCAAATTGCATTAAAATAAAGGATCAAATTTACCACTAAGCAGAAGAGAAATGTTCAGTAACGCCTGGTTGAAGCAGATAGTGTAAATTTTAGTTTAAATTGAAAACTTTAATCGCTAAATATATGCTAAAATCAGTGAATCAATCAATTGAAGAACTCCAAGAACAAATAATCCTAATCTCTCATAAACTGTGTAACATTAAACCATTTTCAGAAATTTATTACATTTCCAGTGCTAAACACTCTGAAGTTCACTAATTAAAATAACATTTATTTGAAAGTAAACAAAAACTATAAATCCTTTCGAGAAGACTGTCTTCGCAAATTTTTTAGAATACGGCTAGCAGAGGTGGTAATCAAAAGAGAGATCTTCATTGTGTAAAATACCTGCACTAAGATGATTGATTACGAAGGCGATGATCCGGTGATCGGATAGAAGGAAAACTTTCCGGCAGTGGTTGATCGGAAACCAAACCGGCGATTGTACGGAATATGATTGTCGCGAGATCTAGAGAGGGTGGAAAGGATTTTGAGGTTTTTGGCGGAAGAGAATATATAGGATGATGCATTGTACGATCACATTCTGTGGGGCCTCAATCGGACCGTACACGTGTACTTAGATTTCTACAGATCTGATTTTGATTTCGATCTCGATCTCGATCTATGTGCGACGTTAAAAAAAACATCGTACAATTAATTTGAGGGTAAGCTACACATATTGATCATCATACTATTACTTCTCTCCTATTTTTGTTATTATACTATTTTTTCTGTATAATTGGTCTTTAACATTAAATATATAATAAAAAAATAATATGATCTGATATAATCATAATTTTATTTTCCGAAAATTATATTTATTATTAATATAATCATAATACTAAATAATTCAATAAATTTATCCTTACAATAAGATAGTGACAATGTGATGTATGTCCTAAAGGTAAAAGAATGCCAATTTGTGTAATCAATACATTGTAAATAACGTCAAATCATGTAATTAATACATTATAAACAAGAATAATACTCGAGTCTAGTTGAAACTAATTCTTAAATAAAAAGTTAAAATGGTGAAATGTTTCTTAAAGGTAAAAGTTCAATGTTTAACAAATATAAATAAATTTTATTAGATTGTAAATAATTTTTTACTTCGTAAACAATTTTATCTTAATAAATTTTTTTTCTTAATTAATTTTTTTAAAGTTTTTTCTTAATTAATTTTTTTAAAATTTTTAGCGGGTGGAGTGACGAGTTCCATATGACCATTGATAAACAACTAGAAACGACTATTTTTTAATTCAAAAGAACTTGTTACCTCGAGGTGACCAGTCCTCATTTTTTTTTAAATTTTTTAAATTATTTTTTTAACAAAATTTTTTAATGAACTCATCACCTCAATGTCAAGTATAATTTTTTTTAGAGAATACCATAATTTCTAAAATAATTTTTATATTGACCTAATATCTTAAATATTTGACCCGCATGAGGTCTTGAAAAAAAAAGCTAAGGGGTTGTTTGTTTGTTTACTTCAGAATGATTAAACGTTGAATGATTCAGAGGCTCTGTATAAATTAACTCTGAATATGACATGATGTTTGATAAAGAATCTGAATCATTCAGAATGTACTTTGATGCTGAATCATTCAATACTGTTTTGTTGAATCAGTCAGTACTGAATCATTTAGAGGTACAAAACAAACACGCTGAATGCTGAACGGTTCAACATTCAACGCTAAATTATTATATTCAAAGCCAAACAAACAAATAATACCTAACTAATTGTAATAGTATTATTGGACCGAAATAAGAGAAGCCTCATCGAAGTCTACATATCCAAAGGTTTTACAGTTCCTCCTTCACAATTTTTAGGGTTTCGAGTAAGAGAGTGTAGCCGCAACAGCAAAACTCACAATGGGTAAGAGAAAACCTCAAATTCAGCTTCTTTTCTTCTTTTTAAACTTCAAAGTGATTTTCTATGGATAATTCGATGATCATTTGGTTTGGAAGCGAAGATAAAGGTTCACGAGTTAAGGAACAAGTCAAAGACGGAGCTGCTAAGCCAATTGAAGGACTTGAAAGCAGAGCTCGCTCTCCTTCGCGTCGCTAAGGTCACCGGCGGTTCCCCGAACAAGCTGTCCAAGATGTATGGAATTGATCATTTCACCCTTTGCTTTCACTTTAATTCCCGGTTCCCTCTTATTAGATCCTGAACTGTATTATTATCACTATTGGCTGTAGAAAAAGTTGTGAGGTTATCAATCGCTCAGGTTTTGACGGTGATTTCGCAGAAGCAGAAATCGGCTCTCAGAGAAGCTTATAAGAAGAAGAAGTTCCTCCCTTTGGATCTCCGTCCCAAGAAGACTCGTGCCATTCGTCGCCGCCTTACTAAACATCAGGTCCTTTTAGTTTTTGTTTACAGTTATTGAGATATTTGGAAATTATTGGTTGAACACTTTAATGTTAAGTGTATATGCCAAGCATGAGAATATGGTGGATTTGTGACATTAACTCTTGGAAATTTTGAAGGAAATTCAGGCAGTCCTAACTAGTTGTCTTTGTTTATGTTAATGCCAAAACATAGAATATAGCTTCGGTAGCGTATGTTACTTGTGCAAGTGTCGGATACGAGTATAAACTCGACACAGGCATTTGCAATGTATTTGGAGGATCCTTGAGGTCATATTCACATCTCCATGTGTCCGAAACAAGTGTATTCGATATGGGTGCTTTAAGAAAAAATGGAAGTCCAAGTGACTTAGTTAGGACTAAGAGATTTTGGGTAGCCTTCGGTTAATTTGTAGTAACTGTGGAGGGATTTAAAATGTCTGAGCCTAGCATGAAATGGAGGGGTATCTTTTAAATGCCAGTTGATATTAGTTTATCTTTTGGTTTTAATGGGTATGTACAATTTTTATTTCTAATCCTAACTCTTAAGATCTTGTTATAGGAATGTAGATTTTTGGACGGTTCACTCGAGGAAGTACATGTTTGAAATATATCATCTATCGACCAGTAAACTACATACGAAATTTAATGTTGAGCTCACGCTGGAGTTAAGTACCGACATTGATGCTCGTTTAACCAATGAATTTAGTAGTTTGAGTCCTCAAGCATATATAAAGCCTTAAATTTTTCCATGGTGACTAACCCTAGGTTATGCTTTGTGACTTTGACATTCGTCATGTTAATGTTGTATTTCTATTTGAGGTTTTTTTTTCCCCTTTGTTCTTGATGTTTTGGTACTTACTCTGATACCATTCAAATTTACCAAATTGGTTTTCTGGGTTTATATGCAGGCATCTTTGAAGACGGAGCGGGAAAAGAAGAAAGAAATGTATTTCCCACTAAGGAAATATGCCATCAAACTGTAATCGAATCTAGCTTCCTCTTTTTTTTCCTGCTATTTTTATTGTGTTGAAGATCAAAAAGGCTGAATTGTTGGTTTAGATGCAGTAATATGAGCATCTGTTTGACTATGTCATTTTTGTCACTTTATCACTGCTCCCGCTTATAATATGATTTCTCATTTCAGAATGCGTTTAATGTACTGTAATTCTAGATTAGGTGCGCTCACTTTTGCAGAGTTTACCCTGCTCCACCTACCTTCGGTAATCATTATATTTGTATCGTTATTCTTTTTTTAATCATATGTATGATATTATAAATTCATGTAAATTTTAATAACTCAAAAGTTCGTTTTATATGGATTCATTTTTCGTTTCGTGTTAAACTAGAAACTGAGGATTAACCTGACCTTAGTTGTAGTAGTGATGGCAATAGGGCTAAACGGAGTGGTTCTTTGGGTAAAATTATCTTAATGATTCCTTTCATGTGATTATATAAGTAAATGACATCAAAGAAAATAAATTATAGAAATGACACTGATTTTCAAGTACGTGGTGCCAGGGAATATGAGGTCATGTAGGGCAAAAATGTTTCCTACACCACCGTGCGTTTAGCGTCTTTTATTGAATGATAGGGTCAGAAAATTATATAAATTTAATTATTTTATATTATTTTAAATTAATAAAAACTATGTAAACGTAATTTTTTATTATTTTAATTACTCGGTGAAAAAAGGATCCAACTACCATAACAGTATTACATGTGCCACCAACTCATCTATTCACTGTTAAGAGATTTCTTCAGTACTTGCAAGGCGGTTGCGCTCTTCAAACATCCCCATCATCTGGTACCTTAGCTCACTGTTATATATATATATATATATATATATGGATAATCCCGAGGATTGATATATAAAACAATACCCTTCTACTTGTGAATTGTTGACAAATTTAACATAAAAAAGTAGGGAAATGCTAGAATCATAGAGGTCGAAGAACATTAACAGATTGATTTTTAATAAAAATATATATAGAAGTTACATTTGTTGAAGAGTTATCTATACATTTTCAGTATATAAAACAAAAGCCGAAGAATATACACGACATATGACAATACAAATATAGTGAACTATCAGCTCCTCTAATGTCAGCAGCTTTTGCTTAAGTAACAAGTTAACTTACACATTTTTTTTTCTAACCTTTTGAAACAATAATGGTTAGCGCCATAATGCAAACCAGATAAATTAGGCAGATATTTGGTTGGTTAGTTGGGTATTAGGTCTTTTTCGAATGCATCGTATTCCCATTCTACGATTTCATCCGTTTCATAATCTGAATTTTCTTCGTCGTCATGTTCCAGCTCGAATTTCAGCCTCCTTTGATCCAATTTTTTTATTGAAGACTTTAATCGGAACCACGGACTTAGTGGCGACTTGGTGGATGGTGACTCTGATATTGCAGTTGGATTTTCAAGATCTAAAATTGGTCTCTCGATATATTCAAATTCCTCCCTTATACTTTCAAGATCATCAAATAGCTCTTTCAGCCTGTCATCTTTCTTCCTGGATGGTGGCCAAGTAACATCAATGGGAATGCCATGTAATATACTTCCACGTTCATAATGGGAAAAGAAAAACGAGATGGAGTTCTTTACCTGTAAGTTCCTTCATTCGGAGAATAAATCTGTGTTTTCATGGAACCCACTACACTAAAGGTACTTACAAACTGGAAAAAAAATAAAATGAAAAACCAAGATTAATTCTGTAGACGTACTCAAACTATGATCCAAATTATAAATTGATCAAAAACTTCAAGATAGTACAACTAAATTCTCAAAGTATAAGTATCGGTATCATATTAATCAAGTCCTTCCATCAGCCTAGCCATAACCTTGCACCTATCAAAATGTAATGTCATTATCCTTTTTTTAGAACACATAAGATCCAATCTCTTCTTATTTCTTAGAATAGGTGCACAGGTGTTTAAAATTTGCTTCTGTATTTCAAATATGCTTCAAGTCAAAGTTGAGTTGGCATTTAACGCCCAAAGCTAATGCCATGGTTGGCGGAAGGACTTGATTAGTATGATACTGATGCTTCGACGATTCAATTAGCATGTTTTGGAGTTTAAAGACCAATTTAGAACATTGACATTTCTTAATATGATAAAATTGATATTTTGCCTACTGCATACATATATTTAGAACGAGGGGGATAGGATCCATTAACACATTGTAAAACTTAGTTTTATACGTTTTTTTGGATCGTTGGATGAGTGAAAATAGATAACGGAGATTAACAATAGAAAATGAGATTTTTACGGAAAAAAAGAAGTGGATGATTCTCAATTTAGAAGTTTTAATCCCAGCCATTTATACTCAGTTAATTCAACGACCTAAAAGACTTGTAAAATTTTTACACTGGGTAAGTGAATCCTAACTCATATATATATATATATATTCTGGATGAGATTGATACATACTTTGGATTCAAGGCTCAAATATTCTTCTTCAAGACTTCTTCTTTGGTTAAGATTAGCTGTTTCTCCTGACCTGATTGATTAAAAGAATCATGCAAAGCTTGACTTAATCTAAAACTAAAAACTTGAAAGAAACAAACAATTATACCTTTCAGTTGAGGCCAAGTTCTCCACCAGTTGCCCAATTCTTGTCAGGGAAGGTCTGAGTTGTTCCTTAAGAATATAGGATATAAAATAAATAAAAATGAGGGATATATGTTGCAAAAGACTCCTAGGAAATGAATAGGAATTACAGTATATCATTAAGTTTTTGACCACCTTTCATGGATTAGAGTAATACCTTGTAAGCAGTTAGAAGATGAGTGACCAGATTCACAAAATATTCTCCATATCTCTCTAGTTCACCACTAGCAAATTAAAATGAAAAAGAAAGAAAAGAAAATCAGAACTCTACGTAAGAAATTAAAATTTCACAAAATATTCTCCATATCTCTCTTGTTTTATTGCGGAGTATGGGGGTATAGCACTCCAAGTACTTTCCAAATACATGCAAAAGCTTGAAAATTGAACTTACATATGTTGAATTCATACACTTATCCTACGCACACACCCGGGTTGGAGTAAAATAGGGAGAAATAGTCAATAGAAGTGGTAGCATCAATCCAGAGTTAGTTATGACACATGGTGATATTGCAACCATTTCTTGTTTTAAAAAGGATAAATCTATGTTGGTCAGCATACACGTTATCTGACAACTACACTCTGGGGTCGAGCAATGATGGGATAAACAGTCAATAGAAATGGTAGCATCAATTCAATAGGTGGTTAGAAGAAAGGAGATGTACATACCTGACCTGCTTCTCCTTTTGCTTAAGGTAGCTGGTTTGGAGATTCCATGTATCTTCCAGAAAATGAATCCACACATTAACAACGTCTGCTTCTACTCGGCATGAAGCAATCGATTTCGAAATTTCCTCTTCCTATGAACAGAGGAGACAGAAGGCAATTTTCTGAATATGAATAGACAGATAGTTCTACTTGTAAAAGCGTATCATCTAATTGGTACTTAAAAGAAGGTATACCTTTGATGCTAGTTGTGATAGAATCTGGTTACTGGCAACATCAAATTGCTCTCGCTCTTCCCTGGCATTGCGAAGGCGTATACGAGCACAGACAAGTGATGCATTGACCTGAACCAGATTCATAACCATATCATAATCCCACTCTGGAAAATGTGGAGAAACCCCTTTTCAGGCTAAATGTATCCTATGTCCAACTCTCATTTTTCTTAAAATCCAGTCTGACATTTGTGTCCGGCACATTTCAAACATAGTGACAACGATAAGATCCACTAAGGACTCTAAACTCATGGAAAAATAGACATACTGAACATACCAGTATTGGACAAATACCTATATGTATATACACTAAAATAAGAAATAAAGCGGAGGCTAAAACTGAAACTTAATTATGTAACGAGTAATAACAGATATAAATGATTCAGAAAAGAATAAGTTTTCTGAAACTGAAACTTAACTATGTAATGAGTAATAACAGATGATAAATGATTCAGAAAAGAATAATTTTTCTGACAAGTATAAGTATTAAAGATAAACCTTTCTAAGTTCAGCTTCAAGTTCAGCTTTGTGCTTCTCAAGATCTAGAATCCCAGCCTCCAGTTCCTGGGAAATTCAATATCAATTATTTTTTATATTTCTTATTTATAGTAAAGAAAGAAGCTTTTGGAAAAAGAAAAAAAAATCAATCTGCAAATGTTACATCAGAAATCAGTTGAAAAGCACCACCGATCCACAGACAATAATTGGAAAACTTTCCCTTATTAAATTGAAAAGGAGAAGAGAAGAATAGGAATTGCCTTGAGATCAATGCCCTCTATGTATTTCAGGAAGAAAGCATTCAAAGTGAACGATTATGTGAAGTTCTTCACTTGATATTATGATTAGAAAAGAAAAGAGCTTCCCTTGATAATTAATACCTTCTCTTGTTGGCTGACTTCGTTGGCTTTAGCAAGACGAAAGCTAATTGCTTCTTCTTTCTGAGCCCTGATTGAAACACATTGAATGAATGCATTTCCCTTATTTGACATATATAGGAATATTACATTTACCGTTGCATGATAATGAGAACCTAACCAGCACAACTGGTTATCACTTATCACATGCAAATTTCCAGATTCATGTTAGTTTTAGTTCATTTCATTTTAGCTCCTAATCTTTATGTTTCTTAAAGTACAGATATCCCATACTCATATATGAAACATTTTCGGACATGGGTATGGATTATGATCCTCCAAGGAATTTCCGAATGAATGGAAAAAATAGAAGAAAAAAAGGTTGAACAAACCCGTTCCAGACACATACCCTTATCTGATACACGCAAGTTGCATAGGTTAATTTCACTCCAATAACTTAAAAGAATAAAACATAAAATCAAACATGATCCAATTATCAAACTAAATAACACACTGTCAGTAAGCCTTGAAAGGTTAGTGCATATATAAAAAACTGAAAGGGAACTAAATTGTTTTAAAATATTCCAAGCAGTAAATATTAAGTTATATTTAAAACCTTTGCTCTGAAATGCGCCTTCCAGCCTTTGATGTTGAGTTAACGAGAGATTCTGATAAAACTTTTAATTTATCGACCTGCAACAAAAATGGACCATATGTTATTGTTGAAAATACAACATCAAGTGGCCAAATTGATGGCCACTTTCGGTGGAGAGTTGAAGGAAAAACAAAACAAATTAATTCCACCGAAAATTGGTTGAAAAAGTTGAATGGAAAAAATTATAAATTTAGTCATTGTATTTTAAGGTATTTATAAGATTAGTCCTTAAGCTTCAACTATAAATACCCTAGCTCATTTAGCTTCAAAACCATCCCAAATCATTCTAGCTTTCTCCCAATACTAGAGAATTTAGAGAGTTTCTTGAGAGTTGTTTTCTCTTTTTTATCAAGAAAGAATTGTCATTGTTTTCTCCTTTGTAGATCGAGAGAAGTTGTAATTCCTATTTTCTCATAGTGAAATTCTTCTACCGTTGCCCGTGGTTTTTACCCTATATTATTTAGGGGTTTTCCACGTAAAATTTGTGTCTTCTTTAGCTTTATTTTTATTTTCTCAAATTATCAGTTGCGATTTTGCTCTATTCGATAGCCGTCTTCCGTAACAATTGGTATCCGAGCCAGATTTGAGTGTATAATATATGTTTATTGTCTTTGTGGTTGCCACCAAAAGGTGGATCCTCCAACATAAGAAAGTAAGAAGGTATTACCCATTCTTTGAAGGTTCCAGAGAACTATTCACGATAGTGAAATAGTGGGAGCTATCCGTAATATAAGCTATGACAACGAAATTTGATATTGAAAAATTCAATGGGAGAAATTTCTCATTGTGGAAATTAAAGATGAAGGCTATCATGAGGAAAGACGGTTGTCTAACAACTATCAGTGAAAGACCGGTAGATTTCACTGATGACAACAAATGGATCGAAATGGACGTGAATGCTATGGCAAACTTTCATCTAGCATTAGCAGATGAAGTATTGTCAAGCATCGAGGAGAAGAAAATAGCTAAGGAGATATGAGATCATCTCACCAAATTGTACGAGGCCACATCATTGCACAATAAAATTTTCCTTAAGAAGAAATTGTACACTCTCCGGATGCCAGAATCTACTTCAGTGACGGAGCACTTAAACACGCTGAACACTTTATTTTCTCAACTTACATCCCTAAGATGTACAATAGGAGAACAAGAACGTGCTGAACTTCTACTCCAAAGTCTACCTGATTCGTATGATCAACTCATCATCAACTTGACAAACAGTAATGTCAGTAGTCTAGTATTCGATGATGTTACAGCTGCTGTTCTACAAGAAGAAAATCGGCGCAAGAACAAGCGTTGACAACGATGAGAGGGAGATCAATAGAACGTTGCCAAAGCAGCAGTCGCAAACATGGTAGATCAAAGTCGAGAAGCAAAAAGAATTTAAAGTGCTACAACTGTGGAAAGAAGGGTCACTTGAAGAAGGATTGTTGGAGTCTAAATAAAAACTCTAATCCACAAGGCAATATCGCAAACACTTCAGATGATGGAGATGCTCTATGCTGTGAAGCGTCAACCACTGTGAAAGGTAGAAAGAAATATGCAGATATATGACTCATTGATTCGGGAGCAACATATCACATGACCTCAATAAGAGAATGGCTCCATCATTATGAACAAATCTTAGGAGGATCTGTGTATAGTTGCAATGATCATTCCTTAGAGATCGTTGTTGTGGGAACCATCAAATTGAAGATGTATGATAGAACAATTAAAGTTGTTCGAGATGTGCGGCACATGAAAGGCTTGAAGAAAAATTTATTATCCTACGAATTGTTGGATAATAATGCAAGCAAGATTGAAACACAAAAAGGAATCATGAAGGTGTTCCGCGGAGCGCTTGTGGTGTTGAAAGGCGAAAAGATAGCAAAAAAATTGTACATGCTAAAGGGAGAGACTTTGCAAGAAGCAGAAGCCTCTGTTGCCTCATGTAGTTCATATTCTGCAATGCTATGACATCAGAAACTTGGACACATGTCAGAACAAGGAATGAAAATCCTTGTGGAGCAAAAGCTACTTCCAGGCTTAACAAATGTATCACTTACTTTGTGTGAGCATTGCATAACAAGTAAGCAGCACCGGTTGAAATTCAACACATCAAATTCTAGAGGCAAAAGTATTCTAGAATTGATTCACTCTGACGTATGGCAAGTACCAATTACATCCCTAGGCGGAGCAAAATACTTTGTCTTATTTATTGATGACTACTCCAGGAGATGTTGGGTGTAGCCTATTAAAAAGAAGTCAGACGTGTTTTCAACTTTCAAAAACTTCAAAGCGCGGGTGGAACTTGATTCTGAAAATAAGATCAAGTGTTTCAGAACAGATAATGGAGGAGAATACACAAGCGAAGAATTTGATGACTTTTGCAGGAAAAAAGGCATAAAAAGACAGTTCATAGTGGCAAACACTCCTCAACTGGAGTGGCAGAGTGGATGAAGAGAACCTTGTTAGAAAGAACAAGAGCAATGTTGAGGGATGCAGTCCTAGAAAAATCATTCTGGGCAGAAGCAGTCAATACCGCCTGTTATTTGGTGAATCGAGCTCCATCAACTGCAATAGAGCTGAAGACACCAATGGAGACGTGGACTGGTAAACTAGTTGATTATTCAAACCTCCATGTATTTGGAAGTATTGTGTATGTGATGTACAACTCCCAAGAAATTTCAAAGTTGGATCCAAAATCTAGGAAATGCAAATTCTTGGGATATGCTGATGGTGTAAAGGGGTATCGTTTGTGGGATCCCACTGCCCGCAAAGTGATCATCAGCAGGGATGTTATCTTTTTAGAAGATAAACTAAAAAGAAAAGAAGAAGATGATAGCGCTGAAAAGTCAGAGACTACACATATACATGTGGAAAAGGAGGTTGAACAAGGAGATTCTTCTGAAGCAGAACCAACAAATGATGAACAAGAACCAGAGAGTTCTGAAGCTCCAACAACTCGTCAATCAGATCATGTGAGAAGATGACCCAATTGGCACTCAGATTATGTTATAGAAGGAAATATTGCATACTGCCTTTTAACAGAGGACGGTGAGTCATCAACATACCAGGAGGTAATAAACATCTCAGATGCTTCACTATGGATGATGGCGATACAAGAGGAAATTGAAGCCCTTCATAAAAATAATACATGAGACCTTGTACCACTACCACAAGCAAGGAAGCCAATTGGTAAAAAATGGGTCTTCAAAATCAAGCGAAATGGTGACGATCAAGTGGAGAGGTATCGTGCAAGATTGGCGGTCAAAGGATATGCTCAAAAAGAACGTATTGATTTCAATAAAATATTTTCTCCTGTGGTTCGACTAACAACAGTTCGAGTAGTCTTGGCAATGTGTGCTACATTGAACTTATATCTAGAGCAGCTAGATGTTAAAACAACTTTTCTTCATGGAAATCTTGAAGAAGAGATTTACATGATCCAACCTGAAGGTTTTGAAGAAGAAGAAAAGAAGAACATGGTTTGCAGGTTGAACAAATCTCTGTACGATCTAAAGCAGTCGTCGAGGTGTTGGTATAAGAGATTTGATTCCTTTATTATGTGCCTTGGATACAACAGACTTAATACAAACCCTTGTGCTTATTTCAAGAGGTTTGGTGATAACGATTTTGTTATATTGCTGTTGTATGTGGATGACATGTTGGTTGCAGGACCCAACAAAGATCATATTGAAGAATTGAAGGCACAACTGGCTAGGGAATTTGAAATGAAGGACTTGAGATCAACAAACAAGATTTTAGGGATGCAAATTCACCGAGACAGAAGTAATAAGAAGATTTGGCTTTCACAAAAGAATTACTTGAAGAAGATCTTGTCACGATTCAACATGCAAGATTGTAAGCCAATTTCTACCCCTCTTCATATTAACTTCAAATTATCCTCCAGTATGAGTCCTAGCAGTGAAGAAGAGAGGATGGAGATGTCTCGAGTACCGTATGCATCGGCAGTGGGAAGTTTAATGTTCGCTATGATATGCACAAGACCAGACATTGCACAAGCAGTGGGAGTGGTTAGTCGGTACATGGCGAATCCAGGCAAAGAGCATTGGAATACAATAAAGAGGATCCTGAGATACATCAAAGGGACCTCAAATGTTGCATTATATTACGGAGGATCAAACTTACTAATCAATGGGTATGTAGATTCTGACTATGCAGGAGATTTGGATAAAAGCAAATCTACTACAGGATATGTGTTCAAAATTACTGGTGGATCTGTAAGCTGGGTTTCAAAATTGCAGTCAGTTGTGGTTACGTCAACAACATAAGTAGAATATGTAGCAGCTACACAAGCCAGTAAAGAAGCAATTTGGTTGAAGATGCTATTGGAGGAGCTTGGGCACAATCAAGAGTACGTCTCTCTGTTTTGTGACAGTCAAAGCGAATTGCATCTAGCAAGGAATCCAACATTTCATTCAAGGACAAAACACATACAAGTTCAGTACCATTTCATTCGTGAAAAGGTGGAAGAAGGGACGATAGATATGCATAAGATCTATACCAAAGACAACATAGCAGATTTCATGACAAATGCGGTAAATGTTGATACATTTACTCTGTGTCGATCCTCTTGTGGCTTGACAGAAACGAGCAACATGAAGGTACAAGGTAGAAAGAATGGTGTGAAGATATGATTGTTCCAATCAAATCTTCAAGTGGGAGATTGTTGAAAATACAACATCAAGTGGCCAAATTGATGGTCACTTTCGGTGGAGAGTTGAAGGAAAAAACAAAACAAATTAATTCCATCGAAAATTGGTTGAAAAAGTTGAATGGAAAAAAGTATAAATTTAGTCATTGTACTTTAAGGTATTTATAAGATTAGTCCTTAAGCTTCAACTATAAATACTCTAGCTCATTTAGCTTCAAAATCATCCCAAATCATTCTAGCTTTCTCCCAATACTATAGAATTTAGAGAGTTTCTTGAGAGTTGTTTTCTCCTTTTTATCAAGAGAGAATTGTCATTGTTTTCTCCTTGGTAGATGGAGAGAAGTTGTAATTCCTATTTTCTCATATTGAAATTCTTCTACCGTTGCCCGTGGTTTTTACCCTATATTATTTAGGGGTTTTTCACGTAAAATTTGTGTCTTATTTATCTTTATTTTTATTTTCTCAAATTATCAGTTGTGATTTTGCTCTATCCGATAGCCGTCTTCCGCAACAGTTATAATAGCTAATAAAAAGTTAAAAGTAGTCAGAAAATTATGACATCGTTCTGGTGTTCTTATCTTCATTTTCAACGGCTTATCTAAAATTTACCTTTGAATGGATTTTGGTTTTCCAATCAGATCTTTCCAAGAAGAGATTGTAAAAAATACATTTTCATTAGAATAAAATGGTAGATCAGGTGAAATTAGCAGCAAAATGATACAGCAGATAACAATTACTTGTTGTATAATAGGGTTGCATTAAGCTCTTAACAAAAAACCCTTAGAGTCAGGGACGAGGCCAAGAATCTTATATTGTAGGGATGGCAAAATTTTGATTTTGAGAGATGGAATAAAAGAGGATCAAATATGAAGTTTTGGGGACTAAAATATTCGCAAGACAATTACCTGAGTAGAATCTTGTCCACGTTTGAAAGCGAAACACTAGTTTTTAGCCAGAAATATTTAACACTTTGCAGTTCAATATTTGCTATATGTCATAAACAAAGCGGTATGAGGTGGAAGAATGGTACCTTTTCAGCATGAAGTTCTGGAGTATCCCCATTGGTTAAAGATTTTTTCTTGAGTAATAGTGCCTCCAATCTGGAATATAGCCCGATTAAACCAAGAGCTTCCTTAAGAGCCTACAAGGAAAGATCAGAGCATTCGGTTTGTTGAATCATTGGATTCTAAGCACTATTAGATTTATTAGCTATCGGATAATACCTGTGGATCAGTGAAATATACAGAAATGACAGTCATGAGAGCTAAAGTGAATATTATGATATCACTGCGATTAATAATTTATAAGCTTTCACCTCTATCTTTGCAGCAGTTTGTTTTTCAGAAAGTTCTCCATGACCTTCACTTGAAGAGTTCAGGAGCGCCATCATTTCTCCAAGTTTTTCCTTTAGACTGCAGGCCTCGGCATCTATTCTGATAGCAGACACAGAAACAAGCCGAGGGAAAATATTACATTTTGTTCCTATTTCATTAAAACTAAATATGTTTACAAATGTTAATGATTTCTTAAACATGTGAAGAAACGATAGTAAATCTCTATTACAAAACAAAGAAAAATGATATTAATAGAAAGATCAACATTCACACCTGGGTTTTCTTGAGCTTTATAACAAGAAACTAAGAATCAAACCCCTTTAAGATTCAAGATACTTATACTACATCAATTACAAATATCGTGGCTCAAAATGACAAGGCTATGTAATAAAAGATCAACGATGTAACTTGTAAGGGGAAAATTTTCGGATCAAACATTATAAACACACCAATATATATGTGTGTTATAGACTCATTAATCACCTTTCAAGACCAACATTTATTTTGAGCCCTTTAATTGCAGCTCGAGCATATTGGAGCAATTCTTCTCGTTTTATCTGCATAAAATAACAGGGAGAAGAATAAAGAAGACATCATACTTATGTCAGATTAAGGTATAACGTATTAGAGTCAATACATGTGTATATATATATATGTTAGATTAACTCCAATCTGTTGTTAACATCTATGAAACATACTTACCAATACTTCCTCCTGATAGTTTGCGAATGCCACTGCTAAGCTCATTATGTTTCTCATTACTGTCTCATGAACTTCCTTCCCTCCTGCAATACAGATCCTGTATATGACCAAACCAATCCACTTTACTAGGAATTCAAATAATAGCAAGACAAAAAAACATGTGATCCTTATGAGACAAATTCTCTCCTCTCCATATAATTGATTAGGAAATGATTTTTAAGCGATTAATTTAGGCCAATATGGAGAACCAAACACTCAAAAGCAACAAAAAGAGTTGGAAAAATCACCTAAGTATTTCCATAAATAGCGAAACCTCTTCCTCATTTGGTGCATCATGAATCTGAGTCATACAAAAGAGTTACCCTGCGGTTAAACTTAATCGATCAGGCAAATACAAAGCCCAAATAATCAAAGCAGACAAAGTTACATGAAAGGGCAGCGGAAAAGGAAAGGATAAAGCAACCTTTAGTCTCTGAACTTGGAAAGTTTGCCCAACTTGATCCCTCAAGTTTTTTTGGTCCATATTAATCCCTGAAGTTAGCAACTTTTCCCAGCTTGGTACCTAAACTTGAATTTCATCACATTTTAGTCCTTAATGAAATTCAAGTTGGGAAAAAGTAGCTAAGTTCTCTGATTAATGCGGACCAGAAAAAAGTTAAGGGACCAAGTTGGGGGAAATTGCCAAGTTCAGATACTAAATGTTGTTTTATCCAAAAAAAGAAAATCGAATATCATACTGTTACAGGTTTCTAAAAAGAAGATTGCCAAAACCACCAGACGTGTATGAAACTATTTTTCTGGTTCTTAAATGATTATGATACACCCTAACTGCAATATTAATCAGCAAATCAGTCTATTAATACATGTCGATATGGCACGTTAAATTTTATACATGTGTCCCTTAATTCTTTTCCATTAACTTTTACAAGTAATTTCCAATGCAAACAACCAAAAGGAAACATTGGCATTAATCATGGAGAACTTACCATTGACAATGCCATCTCTTCAAGAGCTTGACTATACAGAAAAACCTCCCGAAAATTCATTGGTTCTCCGATCTCAGGGTCATAGTAATACACCTGTAATCAACAGCCAAAATAAACATGAACAAACTATACATACAAATATGTTTAATTACTAATTTAATGATGATATAAAGTTAAAAAAAATACAAACAGTCTAAAAGGATTACCTACCAAAGTTGGCTGTTGGGTTGAATCCTTGATCTCTTCGTAAGAAAACTGATCCACAGTGTTTTTGTCATTATCATTAGCACTGCTAATGATATTATCTTTGGCAGTAGTGTCGCAGCTGTCGTCATCATTATCATCATCACTTACATCTTTTTTATTATTTTGATCATTAAAAAATCTGTCGATTTCTTTAAGGGCGACCAGCCATCGTCTTAGAAGTTGAACCCTTTCAACTCCTTTACATGATACCGAAACTTCTTCAAGTCTCTTTACCGTTATTCGAAGACTGTGCATTTTCTTCGCGGCCTGATAATTAACGTAAAACAAACAAATCAAGTTTTCTGTTAAAATTGAAAGGATTAATTGCACCAAACTCACAAATAAACTTGGAAGCGTTTTAATGGCTTCATCAACTACTGTATCATGTCACCATAACTATTAGCTTAGGCACTAAATGCAAATTCCGATGTGCATGTTTAAAATATTCGAAGTGCCTAGAAACGGAATGATAAAAGGACTTCATTAATAGGATATCAATTTAAAATGTAAATTATAGCAAATTGAAGGAGGGAGAGAAATGTGAAATTTACAATGCGCTTATGGATCATCCTGGCACCGCCCAAGACGACGGAATCAGCGACACTCCATACGGTGCGCCTCAGGGCATTCTTCCCACCTACTTCCACGGCTCTACTAACCGCCGTTCTTATCCATGACATTTTCTTCCAAACTCAAAGAACCTTATAAAATTCCCAACGCGAGAAACTTGTTCACGTTTGCATGTTTGGGGAAGCGTCGAAAGGAAGGGGGGAAACAATGTCAAAACAGTATAAAATAAAATAAAAAACTAAACATTGGTGAATGGAGAAACACAATTTGGGCGTTGACGTAAATATTTCTGTAATTTCCCGCATTGTTCGAGTCCCTTGCCTCTTCTTTCGCTTTCCTACTTTCTTTTTTAACCACCATTATTTTCATCTAAATTTCAGGGAATAAAAAAATACTGCTATTCATATCCATTAACCTTTTTCTTCTTCTTATCTTGTTTTTAATTGAAAAGACGACTCTTTTTAATGCATCTTATAAGCAACAAATATGTCTACGGAAAAAATAATTATATTTGTGCTACCTATAAATACATGTCAAAGGATGTCATACACATACATGCGTTTAAACTAATTTATTCAAACAAGGTATAATGAAAAATTTGTTATATTATTGAAGTTTATAAAGTCGTATGAAATCAAAGATAATCTCTACAGGAACAGAACTGCTATGTAGGAAGGCAATGGCTTTTGATTTTATTCGCTTCAACAATCTATCAATCCCTACAATCATTTGAAGGTCACCAATGAATACAGAACTAAAAAGAAGGTAAAGTTTAAGGCATCAATAATCTCTTCTCTTTGTGGAACGCTTTATGTCAACTTGATCGCTGGTGCCCTTTATGCTACTGCCTGTCTTACTCGATATCCGGCAATGGCACTTTCCAAAATTTCCATGAGTTAAAATCTTCCTGCAATGGTATCGGAATATCAGGAATGCAATGCCATGGAATTCCCAAATGAGGTTCTGGAGATTTAAACAGAGGCAAGAAAATATTCTTTTACCTGTTCGACCAATTAGGATGCTGCGGTTCTCATCACCTGCTGCATTTAGTAGGGCAACAAAAACAATTAGGAGGTTTGATTCGGCTATACCGTTTGATTAATAATGTCGTTTTCGGATTTTTTTTCATACAAGAGGTTGATACTTCTGAATGGGACATAGTTAAATCATACAATGAGAAAACTGTAAGTCAAACATTCATGTATTGATTTATAGTGTATATATATATATATATATATATATTGGTTCAGTTGATTGGATTTTGGACATTTTGAGAAACTGCGTTATTATGTTATTAGCTATAGGCATTGTCAGTTTTTGTAATTGGGCGTAATCATAGGACAACATGGAATTATTATATACATGGTATTAGTTTACTACTTTAGTTGTGGTTATGAATGCACTTATGTATTGTGAAGAAAAAAAACTGTTACATACATGATATTAATGTAGACGTGAAAAATATTAGGTACTGATACATACATGATATTAGGTGAATTGAGATCGGATCTGATTCTCGTTGAGACACCATAATTTGAGAACGAGCTTTTTCAACATTTAAAGTTATATTGTACTAACATCGATAGCCGTGGTTAGTTCAAGTAAGAACTGAATTCCGGATATAGACCTGAGAATATTGGTTTACCGGAGAGAAAAGTAAGTTACAAGGGTTGGGTCTTATAGACTGTAATCAGCATGTATCCGAAGTACAATTTGTTTCGATGATCAATGGGAATTGAGGGAAAGCGAAGCCCGAGATTGTTTTTATCCATTTGATTTTCTTTAAAAATTTACATTATTTACTTTCTTTCAATTCTTGAATTTTTATTTTCCAATTTTAAACCCCCTTTCTTTTCTTTATTTTTTTTCCAGGATCAAAGCAAATCAACATCAAAAGCTCCAAAGTCCTTGCGGATTGACACTTCTTTTCTTTACTATGATTTATTTCAATTCATTTATTTATTTTTTGAGAATAAGAAATTTTATTTGACAATTACGATGCTTGTCAAATTGGCTCCGTTGTCGAGGATTTCGGCAAATTACTAATATAGTTGTGTTTTGATTTATAACCAAGAAGAACCCAGGAGAACTAGTAGATTGTGAACCAAAGGTCGAAGGATTAGCTCGTAGAATATATGAACAAACGCTTCGATAAAAGTGACAACAACGACAACAACAAGAACAACACCCATATCTAGTGTCTAAACAACTTCCGATGTCGATACACACTTCATATATGAAGAATTACTTCCAATAATTGATCAAACAATTAAGAATTAGTTGTAACACTTGTCTTACAACAATTGTTATGCATCGTCTTCCCTCATGGTGAAACTTTATTTGAGCTTAAAACGTGTTTAATCCACTTTCTCCCCACCTCCTACGGGTCGCCAAGTGAAAACCCGCATAACCATCTCATTGAATTTCACATATTTTTTTTGTTAAAGCATGAAACCACATGAAGTATCTACGGATTAGATTAAACTTCGTGCTTTCCTTTTTTCCTTAGCCGATTTGGCTGAGGATTGGTTATTTTATTTACCGCCTAATTCAGTTACAAAATGGACTGATATGACTCGACTTTTTCTTGGCAGGTTCTTCCTTGTGGCGAAGACAAGTGAATTAAGATTAAGCATCTTAGGAATCCAACAAAAAGATGGAGAGTCGTTATACTACTTTTAAGAACGGTTCAAGAAGCTCTGTGCTAGTTATCCGCAATATGAATTAACTGAACAAACTCTTCTCCAATACTTCTATGAAGGTTTAATTCCTATGGAGATGAAGATGATTGACGTAGAAAATGGAGGAGCTCTTTTCAACATGACTCCCGCTGCAACCAGAAATCTGATTTCTACTATGGTCACTAACTCTCAACATTTTCGCCCATCTAGGTAACCCTCACGACGGGTTCACGAGATAACTACTCCCTCTTTAGAAGATTAAATAAATAAGTTAACTAATATAGTTTAATCTCTTGTTGAAGAGAAAACAGGTTCAGCTAGACTATATGGAATTTGCACAATGTCATATCATCCCACGGACTATTGTCCGATGCTTCAAGAAGATACTACATCCCATGTGGATGTTGTAGGAAATTTTTCAGGACCTTCCCAAAGATCATACAACCCTTACGCTAATACCCATGATCCAGGGTGGATAGATCATCTGAATTTCAACTATGGACCGAATTCTAGACCAAATCAAGCGTATCAACCAAGGCCATCTCCACCTCAGTAGTATCAACCGTAAAAATCATCCTTAGAGTCGATAATGGAATGGTTGACAATATCCCATGAGAAATTTCAAGTTAGGACTAAAGCTCATTTTTAAGAGCTTGACAAACAAATAAATAAGCTAACACAAGCTATGAGTCGATTAAAGTCCCAAGGAAAGCTTCCATCACAAACTGAGCCAAATCTGAGGCAAAACATCAATGTCATTACCCTTCAAAGTGATATTGTCATCAAAACTAAGATCCTAGAGAAAGTTGGTGCACACTCCTAGTGCAACACTCTCAACCCATACCCGACCCGAATACGAATCTTAGGTGTCACATTAACTTTAAAACACTTTGACTCTTTGAAAATCTGACTAAAATTTAACATTTAAAATAAATACTGAATATTTGACATATCAGAGCATTTGCTATTTACACATTTATAGTACATGCCAACCAAATTTAAAATACCAAAATCAAATTCTATGCACTCCAGTATGATATGATATTCCTCCAAGGTATGATGTCCTACCCTAGCTTACTCTGTTGCCTTCCCTGAACCTACATGTGAAAACACTCACACGCTAAGTCTTTGACTTAGTGAAGCATAAATGAGTATAAATAAACATTAAAACATTTATGTGAATATTTCAGAAGAAACATTAAATACAATTACACCATACATTTCATACATATAACATATACTATTAAACATTATTTAAATAATATATATTTGTTTAATTAGCTCAACATATATCACTGAGAACTCAAGGTATGTGAGTACATTGAGGTTGTGCACTGTAATTGCAGTCGAAACTGTCGCGTAGAATTTGCACTGAAGTGCCACATAGAATATGCACTGATGTGCCATATATATTTGTCCTGAAGGAGCGCGTAAAATTTATCCCGAAGGACCACATAGAATTGTCCCGAAGGACCGCATAGAACCCTCGACTCTTGGCATGCCAACTATACCTCTAATTCTTATAACATATACTTTGGGCTTAAACATATACTTTGGGCTTAAACATATAATTATTTCACATAGTATTGTTCAATTTATTATTTATTCACATAAAATAATTACTCATTGCATTTTATATAACATTACTCATCATTTATTCACATAGAACATATTCACATAGATCAATACGTATGATATTTCACATAGGATATATATACTCATAACAATGAAATTAAAACAATGCTTTTAAAATACGATTTAGCTAAAACCATAACATAATACAAATAATTTTGTTCAAAAACATTTGCGGTTGGCTCATTGCAAGCAGTCTTCCAATCGCATATAAAATAAGTAAGTATCACTCACTTTTGCCTCATGTAAGTCTTAAACAACTCCTTTTCACTTTCATCCTATCCTTATACATCACTTTATTCAACACTTGCTTTCAATCAAATCTACACGTTAACATGACCACGATGAATATCAGAGCTCAATTAATTGTCAACCAATCAACATTTGTATAACTAAATAAAACACTTGATTCACAATTTCAGACTGAATAGTATCGATACTCTATACCCAGTACCTATACTTCTCTTATATGGTATCGATACCTACCTTAGTATTGATACCCAATTTACATTCTGGAATTCCCTTTTTCATTATAGTATCGATACCTTACTATTGGTATCGATACTCCCAGTATCAATACTACCCCTTTAGTACCGATGATGTTCATCCGATTCATATGGTATCGATACTATTCTTCCAGTATCGATACCCTTGCCCATATTTTCCTTATTTTACTTCGAATTTAACCCAAAATTCACCTAAATCTTATACTTCTAACTCCATTCATGCCCTTAAACTCATTAACACTTATCCTAACTAACTTACATCCATTAATCCCCTTTTAACATCCAAATTTCTTCATAGAACACTTAAAACTAAAAA